ACCAACTAAAATGGCTTTTTTCCCAGTTCTCCTCCAGTTTCTGAAACACATAGTTATCACCACCCTAAAGCTAGCAATCACCTCTGTAGCGATTTTTTGTGAACAGACTTTTATGCCGATTTTATCATAGTGGTCACGAAAATAACACTGACCGTGTTAGAAACAGTACTAAAGGTAATATAACAATTTTAAAGAGCAAGCTAAATAAAGCTTGTTATGCACCTGTGTGAACTGAAAATCTAGGAGGTTTGAGACAGATAATCCAAGGCATCATGGAAATTACAGAGATTTGAGAATTGAGCCACTTATCTGTTAAAAGTATCTCTAGGAAAATGTTTTTGTTTTTTTCATTTTAGAAAGAGTGCAGACCATCTGTTAGGTTTTGATTGCTGTCTGTGTCCCAATGGAAGAATGTCACCCCTCTCTATTTGAACTGATGTCCGCTGTCACTGAAAGAGAAAACGAAAGGAAAATCCAAAAACTTGGCATCAGCAAATCCTAACTGTTGCAGAGAGCCATACAATGAAGTGGTGCGCTCTTTGCGGCATTCTTCTTTGGGTTTCAGGGAAGGGCGGAGCCATGCCATCCTGGATTCACAGGACGTGAACTGAACGATGCTGGGTATCATTCAATTGGGAAGAGGACCAGTGCAGGATCCCTGAGTGGGTGAGTCTGTAGAGAACAGCAATACAGAGGAGGTGTGTATAACAGCCAATGCTGCTTTTTATTTTTAGGGGCTGGTGGGGGATCCATGTTTGCATTCTGGTTTTGAGTCTCCATTGCTGACCCCCCCTTATAATTGTCATACTGATCATATGGCTCCAGCACTTTGAATTACTGACCTGAAAGTAGTAAAGAGAGATGGAATTCTGGCATTTCGCAAATGTCATTTTGCTATTTACTTTTTTTTTTTGGAGAGAATTCAGAAATGTTGAAGGCAGACAATATCAGCAATCACAGCTTTCATAGAAATATAACTCAAAAACGTGTAAAAAAATTATATACATACATTCCATGCATACAGTATATACATACTGTATATACTCTACATACAATGGGATTTAAACTTTTTCTTGGTTCTGATCTGCTTAATTCACTGACAAATAAAAATACAAATAAGAGCTATGAGATTTTAACTTCCCAAAATGTTATGTGACATTTTTAGCTGCAATCAGTGCTTAGCACAGTTGTCCTTTAACCTTGGCCAGCATGAATATTGGTCATCAGAGCCAAACTTAAAGAAAAGATGCACAATGCATGACTCATGAAAATAACTAGTGATTCAGAGCATTTGGTTCTGACACATGCTGCATGCATTGCTAAGCTATTATGGCTTTGATACTCAATAGCTGATGACCCCGAATAGTTACGGAGTTGAAACTTTTTTTTTCTGTGAGTCATAATTTAAATGGAAATTTATAACTGAACTACAACACAGGCACAGTCTGTGGCCACAATATCTTTATCTACAGCAATAATAAAAAACATAAAACAGTGCTTTTTTTTGGCAAGTCCAAGGTTTGTGCAAAGTCCACAAACTACAAACTTTACTAGTACATTTTTATATACATGTGTATGACTGACATACCCTGTAATACTATAAACATTAAAGATGACCTTTCAGTAACAAGGCTTACATAAAATAGTTCATGATATGTCACAATATAAAACAGTATTCTAAAAAAAAAAAAAAAAAAAAAACTGTCTGAGCTCCAGAGACTTCGCCTTGGAGCTGAAGGCAGGAAGTAGCATTTCCTCAGTCTCCTCTCTCTCAAAGACAAATGCCAATGCTTCAGCAACATTGTAACAATGCAGCAAATTACAAGGGTGAACGCTACAACAGGGGGATGATCTGTGTCAGACATTTGTGAACACATCTCAGGATTTACAGGACTGTTTAATCTCTGAGTCATTTGCCTGAGGAATGGACTCCTGGAGATTATGAAACGTTACGCTTTTGTATGAAATGCTGACCGAACGTTAGTAAAGACAATTACAATGCAGATGAATGAGGTGTGCTAGCAGAAAATTCCTACATTGACTGCTGTGGCGCCAATCACGGTTCCAGAACATAAAATGTTATTAAACCCAGGACCCTGCTGCATTCACTATATCTGATCACCCACAGTACACAGAACATGTAAAATTATTTTAGTAAATATAAACTACTAAATATCTTTTCTCATCAGCAGTATATAGCAGTCTTCTGACTTCTATCAGTGTCCAGCCAAGCACTGGTTAAAGCTTGTAGGAGTTTTCATTATGCTCTAGGAGGATACAGAACCCCTGACCTCTGTCTGGACAGTACTGATTGGCCCTGAGCTGATCACATGCACTCTCCCAAGAAAAAATAAAAAACCTCTCTAGCAATACACACCAAACCGAGCATGTGCAGAGTGACTCCACACGATATAACAGATGAGAAGGGGGCACTGGAAGAAGAGGAGGATCAGAGAAGTCAGGATCAAACAGCCTTTTTACACAATGCAGAGAAGTAAACCCCCTAGGGAGTATAACAAGCATTCTTTACAGCATATAAAGACTGATTTTATTGTTGTGGGTTTGGTAACACTTTAAGAATAAATGCTGGCCTGGTGTGTGATGAAGATATCACTAGGACCTCTGAGCCAGTATTAGTCCAGAGGTAGATGCAGACCCTAGACATGAATGCCTTAAGAAAGAGGGAGGGCGTGACGCTTCCCTCATTTAGCGGAGAAGGAGGGAGGGAGGCCTAATGCAGGCCACAGACGGTTTGAAAATCGGCCAATTTTTCGACCGAAAGAATAATCGGCCGATTTCGCACTGTAAGTGGGGCAATGGCATCGGTCGATTTTCGTGGTTCCTCCTCATTTCGTTTATCGTGCATGCTAGGAACTTTGTGAAAATCGGATGATTTTCGAAATCATTGGTGGCAACATCGGATTACAGAACAAACAATGTTTCATTTTTCGGACAAAAACAATTGACCGATTTTCGAACCATCTACAGCCTGCATTACTCCTCCATCTAACATGGGAGTGACGCCATGCTCATCCTGACAGCAAGGAAGCACCAATGGTAATAGCTTTTCTCTACAGTTTTTAGCAACCACATTACAGAAGCTTCTTGCTAGTGCAACAATACATATTACTTAATATGCATGCACTTGAAAAAATAGATACTACATCCACTTTAGGTTTCCTATTACTAATTTTTGGAAATTGCACTGGTCATGAACGGATATAGAATTAGTGATTAGTAATAGGCAGAGTTTTACATAAAGTGCAATCAATTTCCAGCTTTGGAAAAAACACATAATAAAAAAAGTTGAAATGTGCCTTGTCATATTGCTTTACTAATTCTTCCCATATGACAGCATCCAAAATGACCAGTTGGGAGCATAAAGTAGCATAACATTTTTAATAGCAATTGTTAAAAATGTCAGTAGAAATTCAGCCAGATGACAAAAAACTATACTAGAAGTGACACTATACCATTTAAAAGACAAAATTAAAGTGAATGTAAATGTTTAGATTTAGGGGGGAAAAAAAGCTAAATCCCCTTTAATGAACCACAATACCCTAAAATACATTGTGAAAGCACAATACGAAACCTAGAGCTGAACTCCAGATATGGATTTTATTACATAGTTACACTGGTTCAGCTTGCACCAATTTAAGTGTGCATATACCAACCCGGCCACTACTACAGTGATCACTGCAGTCTTCCAGGTCCTGTACAGAGCGGCTGCCCTGCAGCACAGTAACCACAGGCAGTCGCCCGCTCAGCACATCCAAAATTCACAGAAAACCTTGCATTTTTCTCAGTGAACGCAAAGCATTCTATGACTGCATAAGGTAGAGAGACGGGACCTTGATGTCACTATCTCCACCTAGTCCAATAAGAGAATGTCTTGCATTCATTATAAAAAAAAACCAAGGTGTTCTGTAAATGGAACCCATGCAGAGTGAGCGATCCCCTGTGTTCACAATGCAGCAGGAGAACTGCTTGGCTTGGGATCCAGAAGACTGCAGCGATCAATGTAGTAGCAAAGACTACTACCATGAATTTTTTCCACTTCCACAGCAGTCCCTCAGGTATAGATTTTAACGCATAGTTAGATTGGTCCAGCTTGGACCATGGTACATATGTACATGCTATACCCAAGGGGCTGCTGTAGAAGCAGAGAATCACTGTAGCGATCTCAGCTTTCATCTGTACCTCTAAAGTCATGAATATTAGCATATAACACATAACTGCTAATGATAGAAATGCTAGAAAGCAAAACCAACCCATTACCTTCCCTTACTGACACAAACATAATTATTCACGATCAATCAGATCTTAGAATTAACAACCAAGATAGAATGTCCATAAAAGCTAGCGGGTTTCCAATTTCTAATGCATACTGGTACTATTTAAATGATGGCAGTACTGAAGAAGTCAACGCATTGCAGAAAGCATAAAAAACAAATGGCACAATAATGAAAAATGATATGCTAAGAATAGGAAAAGATTAAAGGTAGGATTGTATGCTTTGAGGAAATCATAAATGTTTACAAAAGGCTCACATAAAAGAGCACTGCAAGTTCTAACAGAGAGAGGGGCTATTAGTGCAAAATGATAAACCATTTCCTTACATCAAAAACTTCCCAAGTCATCTAAAAAACAAACAACCACAGCAGATTTCTCAAAGGTGTACACCAAACATGAGCTCCTCAACCTCAAACCTGATGCCTGGGAAAACATTTAACCTAACATTTCAATGCCCATAAAATCTATCCAACATTCAATTACAATATATATACAGCATTTAAACATAATTAACCACTTGCCTACCAGACACTTATACCCCCTTCTTTACCAGGCCAATTTTCAGCTTTCAGCGCTGTTGCATTTTGATTGACAATTGCGCGGTCATGCAAGATTATACCCATATGAAATTTTTATCATTTTTTTCTCACAAATAGAGCTTTCTTTTGGTGGTATTTAATCGCCGCTGGGAGCTTTACTTTTTGCGTTATAAACAAAAAGTGTGCAAAAAAATTTGAAAAAAAAAAGAAGTTTCTTTGTTTCTATTATAAAATTTTTCAAACAGGTAATTTTTCTCCTTCACTGATGTGCGTTGATGAGGCAGCACTGATGGGCACTGATAGGCAGCACTGAAGGGCACTGATAGGCAGCACTAATGAGGTGGCATGGATAGGCAGCACTGATAGGCAGCACTAATGAGGTGTCATGGATAGGCAGCACTGATAGGTGGCACTGACTGGCATCACTGCTGGGCACTGACTGGAGGCACTGCTAGGCATTGACTGGCGCAACTGCTGGGCTGCACTGATGGGCACTGGTGGGTGGCACTGCTGGGCACTGGTAGTAGGCACTTCTGGGCACAGGTAGGTGGCACTGCTGGGTGGCACTGGTGGGCACTGCTGAGCACAGGTGGACGGAGCTAGTGGGCGGCACTGCTGGGCGGAACTGGTGGGTGGCGCTGCTGGGCACCGATCATCAGGGCACTAATCATCAGTGCCCTGATGATCGGTGCTGATCCCCGCTCTGACAACTGCCGGTTCTCGGCAGTATTTTCCTCGCGCTCTGACAGCGTGAGGAAAGTGCAGCCGAGAACCGGCAATTGCATTTCCCGGTGATCAGCGTGTCATTGGACACGGCTGATCACGTGGTAAAAGGCCACTGTGATTGGCCTTTTACCACATCACGTGATCAGCTGTGTCCGTAGGACACAGCAATCACGGAGATCGCCGGGGGCGCGCAGGAGAGCGCATTCTGGGAGGACGTCATATGACGCCCTCCCAGAATTAGCCGGCCACAGTGTAGCCGCCATTCGACTATCTGAGGTTGGCAAGTAGTTTAAGTGACATTACACACTATCCTTATTCTCCAAAAATAATACATACGTATCCACTAATTATATATATTATTGGCCCTTTAATCTATTTTTCTAAAGGTTTCTACTGTGTATTTCAGCCTCATTGTAACATCCTCCATGAGTTCCCAAACGCCCTCCCTCTTACGTTTGTTTGGCAGGATCCGTTAACATTAGTTGTAGCCATGTACACACAGTGGGAACATTTTATTTACCTGAGTTTAGTGTCACTTTGCCACTATAATCACATGACCATGGACCCAGTAAAGGGGAATTTAGATAAGGCTTTTTTTTTTTTATTTAGGTATGCAAAGATACCATTTTTTGATTGGTGAGTACAAGTAACAATACTTTTGGTCAAGTGCTCACCGATATAGAGTACCAATACTTTGCAATTTGTGTAATTTGTGTTGATACAAAAATGCATGGATGCAAATTGCACCACAAAGAAGAGCATGCAATTTGAACAGGAATGCTATTCCTGTTTAAATCGCATGTGTTTTCCTCACTGCTCCTATGTGAAACAAGGCTTATTATAGCTTGAGATCACACAGGAGTGGTGAGGGAAACCTCCCTGCACCGATCCCATGCTGAGCGAAGAGTGGGAGAGAAGGTTGTGTGGAGATGTACACCTTGGTGTCGGCCATCGGAGGATGAAGACAGATGCTCCTAATTCTCAGCTGTAGGAGAGGAAAGAAAGTTGTGGGATTTGACCCTGTAGCTTTTTCTCCTCTCCTTGCAGGGATGACAGTATGGGCTAAATAATTTTTGAATGGTCAGCGCCATCACGGTGCTGACCAATCAGAAGCCATCTAGCCTGTATGGTCATAGTTGCAAGGAGAGGAGAGAAAGCCGCGAGGATTTCAAATTCTGCAACTTTCTCCCCTCATCTACAGCTGAGAATTAGGAGCATCTGCCTTCATCCTTCACCTTAATAGCCAACGCCAGTATATACATCTCCACTCGCCGCTCATTCACTCAGCATGGGATCGGTGCAGGGAAGTTTCTTGCACTGCTCCTGTGTGAACTCAGGCTATGACAAGCAGGAGCAGTAGGAAAACCGCATGCGATTTGAACCAGAATGCTATTTCTGTCCAAATCGCATGCTGTTTCCACATTTTGTATTGATGCAAATCACACCGCAAAGTATCGGTTTGGGTATGGGAAGCATTTTTATGAGTATTCGTGAAAATACTTAGTATTGGCACCGATACCAGTATCGGTGCATTCCTACTTTTTTTTTATTGTTTTGAATAGAGTAGAGAAAGTTTAAGACCACTGCAGGTTTTTCGGGGTCTCGCCGGTATTATCAGATCCTGTCAAACAGGCATTACAGGAAGTGAGAGCAAATCGCTCCGACGTAAGAGAAGCCCCCTCAAACAGCTGTCCCCAGTGGACAATTTCCTAGATATTCTTTTTCTGGTGACAATTCTAATTTTTTGGATTTTTCCTCACTTTCAGGGCCCATTTACACAAGTGAGTGTGGTGTGTAGGTGCTGTGTGATGCATTGTTACGACCTACGATACAGTTTATCTTTTTTTTTTTTTTCTGCTTCCCTTTTAACTTTATAGAAACATTACAAAATGACTACTTTCAACTGTATGCATGACATTGGAATGCAGTGTAGTGTAATGCAACACTCTGCATAAAACTACATTTGTTCCTACCTGTTTTCAGCACCTTGGAGTGATCTGAGACAGAACATTCAAATTCTCTATTTTACCTGGTGACCAAGACTGCAAGCCCATTCATACCTTCCCCATTGTGCTACTCTGGGCAGAGTTGCCAAATGCAGTGGCAAAACTGAAACAAGGCAATTTTCCTTATAACCCCAATGGAGTCAGGCAACAATAAAAACCAGACAGGGGTCCTAACTTTTCCACACTTCAGCCAAGTAAACTTAACATAAGGTAAAAGTGGACCTATGCTTAGCCCATACATGGAGAAAAGAGGTAGCCTTATGTAAATTCCAAGAAGTGTAACCATCCCAATGATGGGTGTCTGAGCTACCAATCAACAACGCTGACAAATGGGAGGAAGCAGAGACTGCCACATGCTTTCAATAAATCAAAGTACAAGATATTTTCTTCTCACTTCCTAAAACTGAACGGAGTGGCAAGGGACCAAACCGAAGGTACAGTATGTGCAGCAGAGGAGGGTGACTGACAGATTCACTTTAGAAAAAATCTCCCAGCTACAAGTAATATCTATATAACTGAACTGGTAATGCTCTCAATAAAATACACTCACTAAGATCAAAATCCACATTTAAAGCGGAGTTCTAGTCAGTTTTGTGTTTAATAAAATTCAGCAGCTACAAAAACTGTAGCTGCTGACTTAATAAAACACACACTCACCTGTCCCAGGGTCCAGCGTTGTGCTCACCCACGCCGTCCCTTCTCTGCCTCTCCTCTCCCAACATCACAACTGTGGGCACCAGGCTGTGACAGCTCGTGTCTTCACAGCTGAGTGCTCACTGCACATGCGCAAGCCGCGCTGCACATTCTGATTGGTCCAGCAGTCTTCTGGGACCTGTGAAGGTTCCCCGGAGACTGTGGGAGGAAGGAGGGGGCAGAACTTCCAGCTCCTTTTGGAGCAGTAAACTGAGCCAGAAGTGAGAGTGGGTACCTGTCAAACAGGTATCTGCTCCCCCCCCCCCAAAAGGTGCCAAATATGGCAGTGGAGGGGGAGAAGGCAAATAAGCAGAGCTTCTGCTTTTGAGTGGAAGCTCCGCTTTATGAACAGCCATAATCCTCTTCTGATTATTGCATCATCTTGCCACTTGATTTTGTTATGCATCAAAGTAGCCGTTGACTGTACATTTTCACAGGTTCAGTTTCAGGGCCATTTGGAAACCTAGGATACTGGCAACTAAAGCTATCAATCCAGAGATCAGACAGGTACTCATGATAAATGCCAGATAGGCTGTGACCACTGATATTTAAAATTAAAGTGTATTGTCAACATTCTGCAGACATTGCAGAATGAAAGAATTCAAGAAAATTTGTGGCGAGAGAGATATGGAAGCTGCTACTGCTCACGACCCCCCCTACTTCTGAACAACAATACTGTCCAACTCTCATGCTGTTCTAGTAACTACCTAAAAAATAAAAAAAAAAAGGAAATGGGACTTTTAAGGTGCTAGGGATGAATATATAACATATATAATTGTTATATATGGTATTTCTCAATAAACTCATGTTTAACCACTTGCCCCCTCTTTGATAACCATTCAATTATCCTGCAGCGGCTGGCAGTCGCAACCCTAGAGAAGGGGCATCATATTCTTCAATGCACTGAAGCAGCACTAGAAAAGCCCCACTGTCGGTTTCTTTTTGGTGGTGATCTAGAAATGTAGGGATGTGGTACAATCATTTGAGGCCAGTCACCAATATAGCTTTGATGCTCTCCAAGTGGTTAATGACCTGGAACAAGTATGCAGATTTGGAATTCTGACTTCTCTTGCTACATCAGTGACAAATTATTTAAATCTCTGGAATAGCCAGACAAATGGGACTTTCAGGTGGCCTCTGGATTTCTCTCACTGCACATGCTCAAGAGAATTCTGTGGCCTCATCAGATACACCTAGTTTGCAGTTCTTCATGTTCTTTGGCTAGCTCTAACTTTCTATAAATAAAAACTGCAGAATATACTGTACATGTCCACTACTTGTGTTATCTAAAAGGGACTCATACTAAAAGTAACATTCATCATCACGGGCTTTTTTTGTCCCCAAATTTAATCAAATATTGTGAGAGATTACCATGACAAGTTCTGGTCAAAAAGATGGAGCTACGAGTCACTCAAGTTATCTAATTATATAGCTTGAGGTAGAAGCTTGTTGCCAGTATGCTCTGAAAGCTTGAATTACAATCTAGTTAGCCAATATATTCATCCTAATTTCAAACTACTTTTGTTGATTGCTAACACAACAACACTCTGCTGCTGCTAATACTGCTTGAAGGTAATCCACACTAGAGAGCACAGCCACCAGACTTTCCACCGATGGAGGATAAACTCTGATCCAATTAAAAAGTGTTCTGTTTTTTAATGTAGAGTTGATGAGAGTCACTAAACAGAACTGATGAACACCCTAACCTAATTGGTAGAACAGCCAATAAGTAGTTTACGGCCTGACACCTCAACAAATGTTGTGTCCAAGCCCATCTTCTTTACCTTACTAAGGCCGTATTCAGACAAACAGAAAAAAGGTTGGGGCATGGGCACTTTGAGTGTCACTGAGGCCTCCAGCAGCTGATTGAACAAAGTCTGACTGACAGTACAAACACTTCCTGCTCCATCAGATGAGCAAGGCTTGCCATGGAGAAGTGATCACACACACAAGCTAAGATTTAAATTCATTAATCTATATAGTGCAATAGAATGAATGGAGGCATCACAATCTGCACAGGAAGCAGGTAAGTGGGGTTCTGTGTTCATTTTACATTTAAACTTCATGGTACTTCATAGGGTTGTTTTTTTATTGGTTGTTTACACAATTAACATTGGCAGAGAAGCACTGCACTATAAAGAAATATGGCTATCAGAGACCTAAACTCCATGAAATAAAGGATTCCCTTTCTGCAATGCCTATGTCAAATAAAGG